GATTTGATGCATTGAACTGATGACCGAAGACCAGACTGGTTGTGGGATGACATCAAGGACATGCCTGAAGAAAGTAAAAGGTCATTAAAAAGAAAGAAAAGACCAAAATGGATGTCAGAAGAGATTCTGAAACTTGCTCTTGAACATAGAGTAGCTAAAGCGAAAGGAAGAAATGATGAAGTAAGAGAGCTGAACAGAAGATTTCAAAGAGCGTCTCGAGAAGACAAAGTAAAGTATTATAATGAAATGTTCAAAGACCCGGAGTTAGAAAACCATAAGGGAAGAACACTCTCAGCATTTCTCAAGCTGAACGAACTGAAGAAAAAATTCAAGCCTCGAGTTGCAATATCGAAGGATTCTATGGGCAAAAAATTGAATGATGCAGGAAGCATCCAAAGAAGATGGAAGGAATACACAGTCCCTCTACCAAAAAGAATTGGTCAACATTCAGCCATTTCAGGAGGTAGCATATGACCAAGAATCGGTGGTATTAAAGGAAGTAGTCCAAGCTAAATTGAAGGCATTGTTTTTTACAAGGCTCCTGTAATTGACGGAATACCAATTGAAGTGTTTCAACAAATGGGTGCTGCGCTGGAAGCACTCACTTATCTATGCCAAGAAACTTGGAAGACCGCTGCCTGGCCAACTGACTGGAAGAGATCCATATTTGTGCCCTTTCAAAGAAAGATGATGTGAAGATTGTCAAACAATATCGTTAATAGCAAATGCAAATAAAATTATGCTGAAGATAATTAAAAAATGGTTGCAGCAGTACATGGACAGGGAACTGCCAGAAATTCAAGCAGGATTCAAATGAGGACTTGGAACAAGGGATATTACTGCTGATGTCAGATAGATCCTGGCTGAAAGCAGAGAATACCAGAAAGATGTTTACGTGTGTTTTATTGACTATGCAAAGACATTTGACTGGATGGATCGTAGCAAATTATGGATAACATTGCAAAGAATGGGAATTCCAGAACACTGCATTGTGCTCATGCAGAACCTTTACATAGAACAAGAGGCAGTCGCTCAAATAGAACAAAAGAGTACTGTGTGGTTTAAGATCAGGAAAGGTGTGCATCAGGGTTGTATCCTTTCACCATACTTAATCAGTCTATATGCTGAGCAGATAATCTGAGAAGCTGGACTATATGAAGAATGCGGCCTCAAGATTGAAGGAAGACTCATTAACAACCTGAGATATACAGATAAGATGATACAACCTGGCTTGCTGAAAGTGAAGAGGACTTGAAGCACTTACTGATGAAGACCAAAGACTGCACAGCCTTCAGTATGGATTACACCTCAACATAAAGAAAACAAAAAATCCTCACAACTAGACCAATAAGCAACAGCATGATAAACAGAGAAAAGATTGAAGTTGTGGAGGATTTCATTTTACTTGGATCCACAGTCAACTCCCAGGGAAGCAGCAGTCAAGAAATCAAATGATCTATTGCATTGAGTAAATCTGCTGCAAAAGGACCCCTTCACAGTGTTGAAAAGAACAAACAAATCTGTCTTAGAAGAAGTACAGCCAAAACACTCTTCAGAAGGGAGGATGGTGAGACATCGTCTTGTCAAGACCAGTTCCTGGTGAAGAACATCATGCTTGGTAGAGAATCAGTGAAAAAGAGGAAGACCCTTAATGAGATAGAGTGACACAGTGGCTGCAACAGTAGGCTCTAACATAGCAGTGACTGTGAGGATGGTGCAGGACTGGGCAGTGTTGGTTCCTTTGTGCTTGGGGTCGCTATAAGTTGGAACCAACTAGACAGTACCTAACAGCATCAGTGAATGAGAAATCGGACAGATCGAAGATGGAAGCATAGTGAAACGGCAAAATTAAATAACAGAAAATTTCTATGTGTGTATTGTCTTCATTTCTTGGTGGATAGTGGGAGTTTCATCCTTGATTAGTCATGAGGTGTGGCTACAGTGTAGTAACTCTTTGCTACGCGAACCCAAACTTGAAATCCTCCTGGGTCTAAGTTATTCTTCAGGCAGTGTGATCAAGTTGACCCATAACAGAACTTCAACACCAGGGACCTGCTTTACCCCTAACCAGCGCCACAGCTGTAGACTGAGCCTTACTCGGTGGTGCTGGGTGTGTGCAGATGGACTCTTCTGTGCCCGTGAGCCCAGGGGAGAGGGAGGTGGCCTTGCTGGCAGTCCACACAGAAGGTAGGGCTTATCTGAGGGCGGTTTTTGTGACAGCACTGTGAGAAAGTGTGCGTGCCCTGCTGTGCCTGCACTGTGCGTCAGGACGCTGAAGGAGGAGACCAGGTGCGTGAAGACAGACAGACAGCTGTCTCTGGGAGCAGGGTGTAGCGCTGAGCAGCGGCGTAGAGGTGATGTGATCAGGTCTGTGCTCTAGTGAGGGCAAGCTCTGTGTGGTGTGCTCTGTGAACTGAACTGGCCGAGCTGGACAGGGAGACAAAGGCGCTGTTGTGGGAATTCTGAAAGAGGCGCCAGCTCCAGTCTGTTGCAGCTTAGGGATTTGTGTCTTGCCAAAGAGAAGAAGCTGCAGAAGCTACCTGAGAGAGAATTAGAAAAGGTGCCCCTTTCTCTTCAGAGCTAAGATTCAAAAATTGACGGAGGGCTGGGTTCCCGCTCCTGCTGGCCCCACTCAGCTGGGTGCCGTGTGCGGGGCACAGCTTGTAGCACTCTTCTCTGTGGCCATGGTGGGAGGGCCAGGCCTTGGATTACAAAGCCAGAACGTTGCCTGCCTGTTGCAGCCCTACGCAGCTCTGTGGGCTGCACACATCCTTCCTGCCCTGAGGACAGGTGTCTTCCTCTGCGCTGTTAGACTCCTCCAGTCAGGCCCTTTGTTTGAGCTCTCTTTCTGATACTGAGTTTCCTTCCTCCCTCCCTCCCCCCTCCATTTGTCCCTCCTCCCCGCACTTGGTGAGCAACCTTGTACTGTGATCCTGTAGTCTGAGAGGGGGAACCTCCTACGACTTGGTCCACTCGGTGCCTGGGGAGGCAGAGCCAGGGCACATATCCTGGCCGTTGGTGGTAGACATCCTGGGCCTGGGGCAGCTTTTGTATACAATGTATATTGTATTATTTATCTTTTCTCACGGGAGGGCTGGGCACATTCTGTGTTGTATTATCGTGTTATCAACAGCACCACGCTCAGGACAGAAATAGTGTGCCACAGGGCAGGAATACCCAGCTTGTGCTGGGGCTTGTCAGTTGTCTTACATTATTAGTTGTATAATAGCTTCAGTTAATTGCCAGTTTTTAAAAACAGTGATGATTTTCTTTAATAGGCATTTTTATTATTCACCGAAAAGCTTGGAGAGATTGCTGTGGGTTGTGATCAGCACACCTGCTGGGACGGCAGCTGCTGGCTTCTGTCATGATGACAAGTGCGTCTTCCGCACACGTCTCTGTACACGATTTCTCACAAGTGCGTCTCCCACACGTGCCGCCTCTTCACACACGTCTCTGTTCACGATTTCTCACAAGTGTGTCTTCCCACATGTGCCACCTCTTCACACATATCTCCGTACATGATTTCTCACAAGTGCATCTCCCACATGTGCCGCCTCTTCATACACATTTCTGTACACGATTTCTCACAAGTGTCTTCCACACGTGCTGCCTTTTCACACGTCTCTGTACACGATTTCTCACAAGTGTCTTCCACACGTGCTGCCTTTTCACATGTCTCTGTACACGATTTCTCACAAGTGCGTCTCCCACACGTGCTGTCTTTACACACGTCTCTGTTCACGATTTCTCACAAGTGCGTCTCCCACACGTGCTGCGTCTTTACACACGTCTCTGCACACGATTTCTCACAAGTGCGTCTCCCACACGTGCTGCGTCTTTACACATGTCTCCGTACACGATTTCTCACAAGTGCGTCTTCCCACACGTGCCGCCTCTTCACACATCTCTGTACATGATTTCTCACAAGTGCATCTCCCACACGTGCCACCTCTTCACACACTTCTGTACACGATTTCTCACAAGTGTGTCTTCCACACGTGCTGCCTTTTCACACATCTCTGTACACGATTTCTCACAAGTGTGTCTCCCACACATGCTGCCTTTTCACACACGTCTCTGTACACAATTTCTCACAAGTGCATCTCCTGCATATGCTGCCTCTTCACATGCATCTCTGTACACGATTTCTCACACCTGAGTCTTCCACACGTGCTGCCTCTTCACACAAGTCTCCGTACATGATTTCTCACAAGTGTGTCTTCCACACATGCCGCCTCTTCACACACATCTCCATACATAATTTCTCCCTGCTGGGGAGGCACAGGACAAGCCAGTCCTAACACTTGCCTTTCCCAAGCCCCAGGACAAAGCTCCCCTCCTCTCGGGAGCTGTCTTAATGACCTCATGCAGGGTGACCTGTGTCTCCTGTGCACTCATGAGGCACATGGGCTGGAAGCGTCAGATTTTTGGGGTGTTTTAGGTTGCTGCACGTTAAAATGATTCCTTTATAAGCTAGAGAGAGCAAATAGCTGATTAGCTCCAAATTCAAATAATTTTTCATATGTCATCAGTATTACCAGAAACATGGTCTTACTTGTGTGTTCTGTTTTTTTTTTTTAAACCGATATTAAGGTTGCAGCCTGGTCTCAAGTAATATGATCTTGCTGGTTCAGGAAGTATAATCCCCTATTTGGGTCTAGTCCTCAGAAAATACTAACTGTAGGATACTGTTGAGGGTCAACAGGTTTCGGGGATTTTACAAAGGTAGAGTTGCAGAATTGTATGTCTGAGTTTACATACCTTGTTTATCAATAAAGGAAAGGGAAACACATCTTTTGGTGTTTTTGAAACAGTTTCCATGATCATCAAAATAGTGTTTGAGAAAAAAAGTCCTTGTTAAGTGATTGATTTAACCTGATATTCTTTTACAACCAGCTGCTGCTGATTGACTAAAAGAACAGAACATTGCATTACTCTTCAGCATAATTGTTTTCCAGCTTGTAACACAGTCGCTTTTGTTGGGGGATGTGTTTCAGGGCATCATCCAGAAGATAGTGGACAGTCACAAAGTAAAGCACGTGGCCTGCTACGGGTTCCGCCTCAGTCACCTGCTGTCCGAGGAGGTTCACTGGCTCCACTTGGACATGGGCGTTTCCAACGTGCGGGAGAAATACGAACTTGCACACCCCCCCGAGGAGTGGAAGTAAGATTGCAAACCTGCTGTGGTGTGACTGACATGTCATTTGTTTTGGCTTATGAAAAACATGTACTGGGGATGTGTGTCTCCGTGCTTGGTTTTCACACTGATTATCACGACTGTTCATCTGTGAGTAAAACTGCTTCGTGATTATTAACCAGGGGTCTTTTCTGGACTCCTGTTTAGTCTGTCTTTGGCATCATTAACCTTTGGTTCCTAACGAGCCATCTGATTCCATTCTTTTGCTGGTCACATTTCTCTTCTCAGTGTTACTTTGTTTCAAACTCTGCTCTAAGTAGAATTCCAGCCCTTACTCTTTTCCTTTTCTGATCTGTTATTAGCCTTTTGCGCAGCAGGACTTGATGCTGTGCCCAGGGGGAGACCACCTAACTACCTGACTAGTGGGATACATAGCTTGCTTTATTGTGCCCAGTAGTCTACACCTGGGCCTAAGAGCGTGGGTGTGGGTTTGATACTCACCTAGAATATTAAAATTAGGACGTGATCGCTTAGTGACTCATGTACTATTGTTAATGAAACAAATTATTTCAAAGTAAATTAAACGGATTCCCTATAATTGTCCTTTCCCTAGTCCTCCCTTAGTAATTTTTTTCACTGTATGTAAACCATGATGTTGGTAGGAAACTGTACATATAAAATAGTTACTGTTGAGAAAAGTATTAGCTTGTAAAATTGGGCTTTCTCTACAAGGGTCCTCATTTTTATAAATGGTACTACAGAAATTATGGATTAAAGAGGCCATTTGTATTTCAGTAACTTTCAGTCCACGGATCTAAATTTATTAGGGTAGACGCTTTTAAAAGAAAAACATGTTTAGGTTAATAAATCTTTAGTTGAATAAAATCTCGTCCCCTTAACAGATTTTAACAAAGAGATGTAGTTGCATTTCCACGTTTATCGATACCTAGAGTCCAACTAACAAAATATTTCTTGGGAATATAGTTTGGTTGATTTATGTCAGTGGCTATAGAAGATTGGACCTACTGTTAGTTTACCAAGTAAACGTTTTAAAACGATTTAAGGATATTCTAAATGTTAAAAAATACTTGGAAGTATTTTTATTTAACATAATTCTCTCAATTTATATAGACATTTCATAAGTAACCCTGGCATATGATTTTCTTAACGCAATGCTTTGCATATAGTAAGTGCTCAGTAAAGTGTTTGTTGAATCTAAATCTCCGAGTATAGAAGCTTTGGCTTTGCCTTTTTAAGCCATTTTATTTTACCTATTTCAAGTAAAACTGAGGAGGGTGCTACTTTATTTAATAGCGCCTGAGTCCACAAAAGTAAGAAAAATTTAGTCCATGTTAGACAGAACCTCTCCTAGGCTGACCCCGCTTGAATGAGGGGTGAAGAAGATACTGTTGTTGATAATAACACTTGGTGATGATCGTATCAGCTGACAGTGGTTACGGAGAGCCAGGCTTACTCCAGCTGTGTGCTATTTATAAAAGAGATCAAAATGTATGTTTCATTTAACACTCCAGCAGCTGTATGAGGTAAATACCATTGTTATCCCTGTTTAATAGGTAAAGAAACAGTGGTTCAATGAAATTGAGTAAGTTGGAGTCACATAGTTCGTGACACAGCTTGGATTTGAATCTGTCTGATGTCATAGTACAGGTTTTTAAATCAGCATGCCTTCTGCAGTAGGAATAATGTGGTCTGAGAAACTGAGACCGCAGCTGGGCTTGTCAGGTCAGTAGGTCACTGAAGGGTACGTGGATAGTAGGTGAAAGTGATGGAAGAGGGAAATGTGATGAGAGGTGCAGTTGGTATGTGCATGCATGGTTTTCTCAAAAGGTTGAGAGGGAGGGTTGATAGGGATTGCTCTCTCTGTTTAAAATGAGGGGATCTAAAGTATCAGAAGGGAACAGGAGACTATCCAGATAAATATCCAAGCAGATTTGAAAATGAACCAGATAGAAGTTCTTGAAATCACTGAATGGATAAAACAGCAGGTTAGAGACAGGTGAAAATTTAGTAAACAAGGTGGACCTGAGAAAACTGCCCAAAACATAATGTGGAAGATAGGAAAGCAAGTTGCTGTGACGTGAAGAACGAGGTCATTCTAGAAACTGTCGGAGGAGAATAAGAATGGAGAAGGGAAAATATCCAAAGAGGTAACGGCTGAGAATTTTCTGGAATCAGTGAGTGACTCGAGTCCTCAAATACAGTATCAACTTCAAATCCACACTTAGGCAGATTGTTGTAAATAATCAACAACTATAGATGCCAAGAAAATAGTGGAGTAATATATTCCAAGTGGTGAGAGAAAGTTACTGGTTTTCTGTATTTGTTTACCCAGTTAAATTACCATCGAAGAACAGAGTGAGATAGAGACATTTTCCTTAGAGAGTTTACTACCCAAGGGACCTCTGACAAATCACCTCAGGAAAAAGGAAAATGATCTCTGAAGGAAAATTTGAGTTGCAAACTGGGAGAAGATACTTGCAAGGAATGGTAGCAAAAAAAAAAAAAAAAGGTAGATTTAAATAGGCATTGGCTTTATAAAACAAAAATAGTTATAAGACCGGATTTTTGATCATTAAAAAGTAGAACTAAAGGATTGGATAGTGGCGTGCACATCAGAACTAAAGTCCTGTTAGCCAAAGTCTTAAAATCACACATTTGGATTATTATTAAAACGTAAGGAGTAGATGGTAACACTTAATGAACAGTGGATGTACAAATAGGTATGAGACAATCAATCAAAAGAAGGCAAGAAATGGAGAAAAAGCAAGCTTGGAAAAGCGGGATAAATAGGAAGGACAAATAAGATTTTAGAAATAAATGCAAATATACTGATAGTAAATGTAGATAGTCTTACCAGTTAAAAGGCAGAGATTGCTGGTACATGATCTTAAAAAATTTCAGCTGTCTGCTGTTTATAAGAGATACGTAAAACAGTGATTTTCAAACATTTTTCTTGGACTTGAACAGACAGACATTTTAGCTTGAGATGCAATACACATGTATGTGTGTCTATCTTAGAACTATTTATATATATAATCAATCACTCTCTCTTTACATATAGACATTTCATAAATCTATACTCAGTCTTACTATTTACACTATAAAGTCTAAGGTTTTCCATTCCACTTTGTTCTATTCTACTTCATTAAAATAAATAAATTAATAATTTCACAGCCCACTAATGAGTTGTGATTTCCAGTTTGAAAAACTCTCAAATATGCCCAGTCACTGAGCCACCACAGAGCACTCAGCAGCCGCCCCCTCGAGCTCCCTCAATTCCCGACGCTGCGGCCCCCTCACACGCCCTCCCCCGCCGCCACCTTCCGCGGGGCCGTCTCTACCGGGGAAATGGAGTTTGGTGTGTCTGCTCTCCAGAACCTCCATTCTTTTGACCCCTTTGCTGAGGCAAGTAAGGGTGATGACCTCCTTCCTGCTGGGACTGAGGATTATGTACATAAAAGGATTCGGAGAAATGGCAGAAAGGCCCTTACCGCTGTCCAGGGGATCGCCGATGATTACGATGAAAGAAATGAGTGAGAGCACGTAAGGAGAAGCGTGTCTGCAGTGGTGCTGGAATTGAGCGTCCAGAATATGCAGAAGTAATTCAGCTACAGGACGACCAGCGCGGGAACACGTGCCGGTTCCCCGCAGAGACTGGACTGGCTAAGGACGGGCAGCTAAAGGTTCGTGGGCTTTAAGTGCTGTGGCTCACTGAAGCTTAAGTGAAGATTTCCTTGCAGTGAGTAGAAAATTTCCCTTCTGTCCCTTGTCACAAGTTTAAAACTTCACAGCTTGTATAATGTAACCATTTGGAGTCCACTTTTAGCTTGGACTAGTGTAATTCCTTCATGCAATAACTGAAAAGAGTTTAAAAAAAAAAACACATAAAGCATAAGGACAGGTAGGGGGTAGGGAGGGAACAAGATATCCCAGGCGAATAATAACTCAGGGGGGTTGTGTTGCTATATTAATAACCTATGACAAAGGTTTTAAGGCTAAAAAGCATTACTGGGAATATAGGAGGTGGTATATAATAAAAGTTTCAGTTCACTAGGAATTTAATAAATACAGAAGTAGATACAAGTGTTAAACTTGTAAATTCCTAAAGATATTCCTCAAAATGCATAAAGCAAAAATATTAATGATAAAAGAATATGCGTACCTCTCCTAATGATTGAAAAAAGAACACAAACAGTAGTAAACCATAGATGTGAATTATGCGTTGAACAATTGTTTCTGATGGAGAAATATGGAATCCTGCATATATAGCAGTTAAAAAGCACACTTCTGAATAATTCGTGGTTCATGGTGAAACAGTCAACTTGCTGGTGGTCTGGCTTTAATTGTCTTATGCCGAACCGGCACTGGGCTCCGCGTCCTCCACCCAGCCCTCCGCAGTGTCTGGCGCACTTCGTCTCCTCCTCTCACATGCTGCTTCCCTCAACTTCCCGGGCACATGGCTCTCCTGGTTTTCCTACTTCACTGACCGCTCAGATTCTGTCTTCCCTTGCCTCGCCTTTAAATTTTGGGGTGCCTAGTGACTTCTTCTGTTTCTGCTCTCCCTAGAGCTGCGTTTGGCATTAAATTTACACAGTCAGTTGGATGGACACAGGGAAACGAGTCCTGTTATTGCAATAACCCAGGCAAAAAGGAGAAAAGATGGTAGACTAGGGGACGGGTCAGAGGAAGTGAGAAGCAGGTGCACCGGGATACGTTTTTAAGAGACAGGATTTGCAGCTGGCTCTTTAAAATTCTAAGCCATCCAATTAAATGTGTAAATCAGCCTTGCTCAGGAAGCCTCACACCTCATCACACCTGGAGCGTGTTCTGTTTCCGACGTCTTAGACCTTACCTGCTGTTCCTCTCCTTCCTCGACTCTAGCTTCCTTGGTCCCTTTAACAGTTCAGTTTCCCATTTAACTCTATATTTTGGGATCATTTTTGCAAATACTTGGGTTGAGATCTAATTTGGTGGTTTCTTCCCTGTTGCCAGCTGTCTTCTTTGTT